AATTTTATGTTTCTGATGGGTTTTATGATCAACACAAATTCTATTCTTGAGGTCTGAATTCTTTTAACGTTTAAAAATCGATTTTATAGACTACGGCTTCATATTAGCTAAGCGTATATTAAATCCATGAGTTAATTGTATATGATAACAGTGACAACTATACCAGTTTGAGATAACCTATAAGAAACCGAAGCTCGTAGTGATCAGATCGTGTGCATCGCAGGGAAAATCTACCCATATTGTGAGAAAAATATTTTCTTGTAGTAGATATGCAGAATACCTTTAAAAATTCAAATAGACTCAAAAATAAGCACAAATTAATTCAAAATTTAAAAAAATTAACATAGGTCTTATGGGTTGCTATGCTGGTGACGAAATAACAACGAAATATAAACAGAAATTTAAACAAATGGAAAATATTCCAATATATGTTTAAATTTACAGCTTGGGGTGAAAATAGAGAAGTCTGTACATTACATATTTTTGGTCAAGATTTCGACCACAAGTTAGAAAAATTAAGTGCTAAAAGATTAGGAGTTAATAAATTGTGCAGGAAATCATATAATCCAATTTGGGTAGAGGAACGTGAAATCAAATAAATGAAGGACACAGCTTAAGATAAGAACTCTTTACTCAAATGAAGCAATTGTCTACAAAGAGAGATTGGACAAAAAAGTCTTAATCAGCATCATACATATTAATGTCTGCCATCCAATTTATTTAGCAGACCAGTGGGATTTTCTGGTTTAGTCTGCAAAATTTCAGTTGTAATATTATTATTGTTAGAGATCTTATTATTGGAATAAAGATTCTTATATATTAATTATGTTCTCAACTCGCTCTTTAGAAATGGGGTAAACTATTACATTATACTTCTTTAAATTAATCAAAACCTGATTGTATAAACCCGTTGAAAAAAATTCAATAAAAACTGGTGGATTTAACAGTTTTTTATTGGTCATATATGAGCTGGAAACGCAAAAATATAGTTCGACCCTTCCTTTTAACTGGAAATCGTATAGATTGTTTTCTGATCTCTTGAATATCAGTGACATTTTCAGAAGGAGAGAAGTTTTGTGTGACCAAGGCTTGCTGGGGAAGAGGTTAAGACTAATTATTTGTAGTGGCTGACGCGGAGTGAGGAGAACAAATAACCACTTAACCCCATTCATACATCAGCGGAGCTCCTGATCTTCTCAAATGAGATTACTTATTCATACAACTGCACCAACATTCCTTCCACTGATTATAGCACAGAAAGTTGCTAATTGCTGCATTTACTTACTTTTGCCGAACTATTTTTACTTTTGCGCACTCTTTTTTGCCACACTCCAGTATTCCAACAAAAAAAAATAAATAAAGTTGCGTGCTGCGGTTTATTTTAAAAATAGCTTTAGAGCTGAAACTAGTCAGTAAAAATCTTAATACATATTTTTTATTTGGGTACGATGTTTTTCAATGTATGATTTTCCTTTATAAATTGATATAAATATATCCTACTAATAATATCCTACTAATATTATAAATGAGAAAGTTTGGATGTATGGATGTATAGATGTATGGATGTATGTTTGTGACAAGTGAACGCGAAAAATACTGGTCGGATTGGGCTGAAATTTGGCATGATGATAGCTCACATTCCCGATTAACATATAGGCATATTCTTATTTCAAAAATCCTTTCGGGCTCCGCCCCAGTGGCTCTGGAGTTTCCCATGTTAACCTTATGAGAAATGAAATTATTGAATCTTAACAGCTGTTTCAATTAAACAAGTTGGTTCTGTTCTGTGATGTTCAATAGCATTAAAGTTACAAAAATTACCAACAGGGTGCAGCACTATTATTTCTTTTACATTTATGACAACAGCTAATTTGCAACCAAAAGGTGAGTGAGCGTAGCGAACGAACTTCAACCTGGAGGCGAGTTAGCGTAGCGAACGAGCTAACCTGAAGGCAAGTGAGCGCAGCGAACGAGCTCCAACCTAAAGGTGAGTGAGCGTAGCGAACGAGCTCCAACCTAAAGGTGAGTGAGCGTAGCGAACAAACTTCAACCAGGACGTGATTGAGCCATGCGAACGAGATAATCTTGAAAATTAAGAAGTTAAACGGGGCAAAGCCCGCGGGTTACAGCTAGTTATAAATAAGAAAGTTTGGATGTATGTTTGTGACAAGTGAACACGAAAAATACTGGTCGGATTGGGCTGAAATTTGGCATGATGATAGCTCACATTCCCGATTAACATATAGGCATATTCTTATTTCAAAAATCCTTTCGGGCTCCGCCCCAGTGGCTCTGGAGTTTCCCATGTTAACCTTATGAGAAATGGAATTATTGAATCTTAACAGCTGTTTCAATTAAACAAGTTGGTTCTGTTCTATGATGTTCAATAGCATTAAAGTTACAAGGATTACCAACAGAGTGCAGCACTATTATTTCTTTTACATTTATGACAACAGCTAATTTGCAACCAAAAGGTGAGTGAGCGTAGCGAACGAACTTCAACCAGGACGTGATTGAGCCATGCGAACGAGATAATCTTGAAAATTAAGAAGTTAAACGGGGCAAAGCCCATGGGTTACAGCTAGTGCATAATATATAAAATTTGAATGAATTGTGTCTTTGGCCCCTAGGGACAACAAAACGAAAAAGTATATCGGTCCCGGGCCTAGGTCCTATCGTGCCATTTACGGTAATAGCTATAAGGAAATTCACTAAAACTACAACAATAAGTAACGTTCTACTATTACCATTCGTATTATCTTACTATGGAAAACAATAATATACATTTATGGACAAAGAAGGTATTTAACTTTTTGTGTCCAGAAGAAATCGATTGTAGAATCGCAAACAACAAATCCACTGAAATGGCTGCAGCGACCTTCCAAGAAAATTGGAAAATCTCCATTAATATTTATGACTCTGATTGCTCCTTGCTAGTAATCAACTCTCGAGCGAGTTTAAATTGTTTTTCAAAAACATTTGTTTTAATTTTTTTTTTATTCCCGGATGTTGGGGCAGTTGAAAGGTGTAAAAAAAGTATTTTGTTTTATTAAAGGTTGTCTTTGTTTCGTTTATTTATTTTTAAGAAAACGTCAACAATGTAATCTTATACACGACTATTTAATTTTAAACTTAATCCTTTTTGGTTCAACTCAATTTTAGCATAAAAAGTTTATCTAAATAATATGCTGTTTAAGGTTAGGAAAAACTTAAAATAATAAGTCGCATAACTTGGGGGCGTTCTATCATTGGTAATCTATGAAGTAAGAATTATGTCCTTGAGAAGTAATCAATAGGACCCAAAATTTCATTACATTTTTGGATTGGTTCTTTTTGTTAAATTACCTCTTTCAACAATAATTCATATAAATGTCCTATTTTATTGCATATTGAATGAGGAAATAAGATTTTTAAATAGAAAGGTTGAAGTGATTACTTTTTCAAAAACGAGAAAAAATTCCATTTAAACGGTTAGATTCAACACCAAGCAATACATTATTGAACCAAAATTATAAAAAAGAAATGTTATTCATCTACACATATTTTACAACATGAATAGTAGAATTTAGTATACCTATATATATATATAATATATATATATAAATACATTTAATGGTGTTGAGCGTTTAATGAATAGAGCACAGCGAATGTAGGCATCACGGTCTGAGCATATAATGGGGTCATGGATTTTTATTACTGGGCTTGAATACTGGGCTCATATATTCTAATACGAGCTATGTCTGTTTGTCTATATGTCTGTAATATATATATAAAAATTCAGTGGAAGGATTTTGACTAAGTTTTGGAATTAGGTACTTAGGCTATTGTCCTAAAAACGTGATTGGTGACAGTCACTAAGGAAAACTCGTATTTCGCTACACAAATCGTTTGAAAATTAAAAAATTTACATTGGCCTTATGGGTTGGTAAGTATAACTATATTGGTTGAACAAAATAACAAGTAAACTGTCAACAATAGACTTGAAAGATGTGTTTATAACAAGCCATCCACAGTATACTAGCAAATTACAAAATACTGTACAAAGTGATAAACATTAGTGTTAGTTACCCCGAAGATTACTCGATATAGGGGAAAATAGAGCAAGTCAGTGTTGATGAGTGTTTCGTGTTGATGCCGTTTGAGTGCACTGGCGTCAACTCAATGTTTCACTCTTAAGGGTAGATTTTAACATTTGTACGTATTTTGTATTATGTAAAAAAAATATATTTAATATATGTTTAGTTAGTATATATATTTAGTCAGTTAGTAAGCTGTATTCATAATAAGTTTAAATTCCACTGGAACTTACAAAATAAAAGTCAAATTTATTTGTAAAAACGCGCGTTTCCTTTATATTGCTTTTACAATCGAAATAAAGTAGATCGAGCCGCTCGACCCCCCAGTATTTTAGCATTAATTTGGGTTTTCTTTGTAAATCATAAATTGGTCTCATAAAATCAAGCAAATATTTAAGTGACTTTAGAAGTCAAGACTTACCTTGTTTAATTAAAACAATCGGTGGGACAGTAGTGAAAATCGGAATCACTTTTAAAGAAAACATTTGATTTGATATTGTTCACGTTATGTGATATTGACCAGGTCAAAATCAATGTATAAAAATATTGAGTCAGTGATGTAGCAGCTATTTTATTTAGATATAGCTCGGCCTACGAGTATGGCGGGTCAGATTTCATGTTTCGTGTTTTCATTTATTTTCTTAGTAGAATGTTTAAAAAGTATTGAAAATTCAGTGGAATTGATCAAACGTCATAACTAAGAAAAAATATAAAGCTCTATGAGAAAATCTTAAAAATTGTAAAGACGGAATAGGTAGTTATTTTTAAACCAATGAAAATCCAGTTAAACTAATCTTTTTAGAATTGAAATATAAAATATGTTTCAATATTTAAACAATGAAACGAAAGATAATGAATACAGCAATAAAAACTACGCTGTCGGACAATATAAAAAATAACTATCAAAAATGTTTATTACCTTACCTTTTCTTTTAAGCGTAGAAAGACTGCATGAACCCCCACCTGTAAAAATATACCAATTATTTCATTACTGAAATTTCATTACGTATCATACAAGGTAGACTTCTATCATTAACATGCCGACTGTTATTTTCTGTTGTTTCTTGCAATGTAATATTGATGTAAGAAGTTCAGAGCAATGAGAAGAAAGAAGCATTACACGAAATAGCCTGATGATTACAAGCAGCAATTTGTTCCTGTAGCGATGATACTTACAAGTACTTGAGTGCCTTAATCTAACATCCTCCAGATTGCAATCTGCAATGTTGAAACAAAAATTGTCTTCATTGTAACGACTTAGAGAATTATATTAACGTTACTATACATGACAAAGTATTAAGTTTTTTTTATAAATATTTTGAATAGGCCTACACATAGTTTTGTATATTGAATTTTTTTAGTTTTTTGAATTTTTCAAATCTTTAAGGGTACTATTATACGAGTGCTAATACCGTGGCGCATTTGGTGCGGGAAACAGGGTGCTAAATTTAAAAGCCATATTTTGGATAGATGTCCAATAAGAACAATGTTCTCTTTTGAACAATATAGTGTCGTTATTTTTTTACACACAATTACGTTTGATGTGTCATTGGAATGAGAATACAATTCTACAGGGTGTTTGCTTTAAAAAAAAACTTTAATAATTACAACAACAAAAAATAATCTAATTTTATGGAGGGTTTGTAAAGGGATATTTAAATTTTGAAAAAGCAAATCCCTTGCAAACTTTAAGTAATTATCGAATAAAATTTGTTTCAAGAAGATCTGGAGTAAACTGCAGACGTGATATGGTAAAAAAAAACATATTTTCCCTTTAATTTGACTTTTAAATCATTTAATTATCTTGAATAGTCCCCGAGCAACGACCGTTTAAAATCCCGGCATTCTTTTATAAACACCCTGTATACTGTTACATTGCCTACATTATGCGTGTTATAATAAAACTCACTTATCAATTTGCATGTTTTAGCTTAGTTATCTTTTCACAAAAAAAAAACCTAACTCAAACATATTTTTATACAACGATGTCTTAACTTGCAGTTTATTTATGATAATAATACAATGCTTTAACAACTAAATCGTTTTAAGTCATATAACAAGACAATAACAAAATGTTTATAGTCCTACCTTGATTATAAAAATTCAGAACTAAGGGGTGAAAAAAGGATAATGTTCATGTAAGAAGTAGCAGTCATTAGACCAGATTAATGTTTGTGCAACTTACAACACAAACTACCCTCCATTACCAAACATCCCTAAGCTGATTCACCTCTACTGCTGTGTAATTTGCTGTTTTTCTAATAATTGCTTTAGGGTATGTATCCAATAAAAAAAAAGTACATAACAAATATTGTTCACTACCTGGATGAAGTCAGTTTCACGTATTTTCAAGTCATTGTTAACAAAAGGATGCTTAAAACAATGTTGGATTGTGATTTTTTACTAAGAAGAACATTCTTTGTTTTCCCACAGGATCATAGATCAAGTTAAACATTTAGTGTTTGTGTCAAAACCTGACTTTAATTAGTCACAGTTAATTAAAATATTAATTAATCATCGTACGCATGTTCATGAAATAAGATATCTATTCTGAGATTGCCTTAAGATACCAATCTACAGGTAAAGTTGGGATCTGAATCACTGTATCACGTGAAATCCAAACACCCTGTTTGTGTTTGCAGAAATATGGTACGAAAACGTGTCGTTTGACAAATAGTAATATCAAAACCCTTATATGAATGCATTGCTGAATAAATCACATGAATATTTTATTGCTTGCTTTTAAAAGGACGAGAGCCAACAAACAACAGGGAAAAGCAGAGTGTTCTGACTGAAAGCGGCGTTTGTATGTACAGCCACTACACGTACAGCAACTGCTGCGTTGAGTTGAATCCTGTTTAATAGGCTTCATAAAGCATTTCAATGTGTAACAGACGATGTCATTACTCTGTCAATCCTATTTCAATGGCAATACTTTATATTATAATTTTTATATGTGACTCGTACAATAGTACTCTAAGCGAGTAGGCACAGAAGGTTCTCATTGGTTCAAAATATATTTTGTTTGGTCAAAATGTGCATATTTAGATGGTATCTTTTGCTAATTTGTATTATGCGAAGGTATTCAGGGTGTCCCGTAAGTAAACCTCCAAACTCCGGGAAATGGTTCCATGGGTCAAAATAAAGAATATTTTTTTCCAAAATCACTTTGTTAACCAGATATCCGCTATTTTGTGTTTTTTACATTAACATTTTTATATTTGAATTTTTTCAACTGATCTTTATAAAACTTGGCATGTAGGTTAAGGAAGAAAAGGCCAATGTTAGAAACAAATCATCTTGATTCAACCTAAAATTTTAAAAGGCGGCCATTTTAATTTTTTAAACTAAAATTACTCAATAACGGCTAATTTTATGAAACAAAAATGTTGAGAATACTTTTACTTAGTATTTTTAATTCCCTATCGAACGATACCAAGTTCAACAGGTTCGAATAAGAAATACATGAAATGTTACGATTTTTAGTTGTAAAATAGGGTTTAAGGCAGAAGCTAGTCACGTTTGTCCCATTTTAATATTTCTAAAAATTGTAATATTTCAACTATGTAAACAATACAAAATGGGTGATGTGTGGTTAACGAAGCGATTATGGAAAAATGTTATTCTTGATTTTCTCTTTATTTTAACCCAGAACCATTTGATGATGTTTGTCTGTTTACTTACGGGATAATCTGTACAATTAATGTTTATCTGTACTTTTGTATTCACAGTGAATCATAACACCCTACTTTGATAAGTACGGTAGCCCTACCTAGTTACTTTATGGGAAAATAATTATAAACCTAAAGTATACAAGAGTTTGTTATAATTTTACATTCAATAATGAAAGCTTATTGCTAATGGAACATTGTGTATCCACTGATTTAAATCTCTTTAGCTTGAGATTTTAAGTTGAAAGAAAATCAAATTTCGAAAATACTAAGTAGATTAAACAAATATTGAGGAAAAAAAAACAACGCCTCGAAATTAAAACGTAATCTAGAGCCAAAAAACTCATTTTCCTACTTGGTAAGACATATAAAAATCAATGCTAAGACATGTTTTCCTTAAAAAAGGGACAAAAACAATTTCCAAACCAACAGATTCAACGGAAAGAATGTATTTGTACTTGGAGCTCAGTGCAGTTGTTTGAATGGTAAATTGATGGTAAAATTATCTAAATTTAACTAATAAATTTTGATGAAATATCGAATAAAATCTTCTTTCAACGTTACATTGATCGATACTCAGTAAATAGTTTTGGTCACGACCAGGAGTTGTTTAGTACTTTTCAAAGATAACAATGCATTATTAACTTGTATAAACAGAAACTGTTGAGCTTATGTCAGTTGAATACGCTACTCACTAAAACGAAACACAACACGGCAACAAAGCTTAAAGCTCTCCCTGAAGGCACCTTCTACTGGGAATACTTTTGTTACTGCATTAAAATAAGAGAACCTTTCCATTATAAACGCTGGTTTGTTTTCTTTTTTGACCGGTTTATGCCAATTTATGTATTTTGTTCTAAGGATCGGTAAAAGCAAGCGTTTTAGTTTAATAACCTAAAATGTTGTAAGACTACATCATTAATACAGGTAACAATAGCTGAATTAACATTCTAAAATCAATTCTTCTTCTCCTCGGGAAAGTAAACTTTGGAAGAAAATACAACAAATTTGGTCTAAAAATTTTGTTAAGTTATCACTTAATGCAGTTATTATCAAATGCAATATTTTTTGCTTGAAATAAGGTAAATATTTTTATAAATCTGAGCTGATTGCTTATAAAGCAAAACAAAATGGAAACCATTTTGGGGACTAACTTATAAAGGCAAAAAGTACAATACAATTTTAGTTTTCTGAATTAGTTGGGTTTGTGAATAATGACATAAAATTTAGTTCAATGCCGAAGTGTTTCTTTTACAGTACTATCACTCATTATTCACTTCGGCCTCGGCCTCATTTTAGTTGTAACTCTTAGACAAGTGAATATCGTAAACAGCTTTGCCAAATGAACCGTTTTGGTTATTGGTTTTGTGGGATGGTGGCGTTGTCCTGTAATCCAGCTTCTAGGAGGTCACGAATTGTGGAATTTATAGAGATGCACTGTGGATTTGATTCTCCCTGGTGTGGATTAACGTCCACACTAGTGAGTACTTTGACTATCCGCAGTACTATCCTGATAATTAGACCAATTCGTTAATACCAAGGCAAGAATGTGGTTCGGATCCCACTATAAACTGTAGGTCCCTTAGTTGCCATTAGCTATTAACTAACAGCTGTGTCTAAGGAATATGCCGGCCTTGGTCAGTCGGTCACTAACAAGACTACAAGATCGCGCCAATCATTCTTCACTCATATTTGGGTTAGAATACGCACATAGTGACGTCCCCATCATGAATAATTGATAATTGATGATCTTTTGAGTTCCGTGTTTGAAGAGTGTTTGGTCAGCGTTGTAGTTTGGTCAACTTTGACCTACAATAGGTGAACTATGTCGTCGTACACAATGTGCAGTGTTGCTGGTCACAAACATAGTTTGTTGAAGTTCCCATAGAAGTTAGACCTTTGGTCACACGGCGCTGCCTTTTGTTCCGAACAACAATAGCTTCAAATTGCTGAGTATTTATAAGCGTTTTAGCTCTAGATACGTTACTAGGGTATTTTTGTGGTGTTAGTAGGTCTTCAAAAAACCAAATTGCCACCTCGATAAGAAATCCTAGAAGCCTAGGTAGCCCCTCGATAGTAATCGCTTTAATTGAATCCCTTAAATTTATTACATAATGCAAGTTTCTTGGTCACCAAGATGGTTATAGTACTCGCCTTCAAATCGGGATTATGCTCATTTATCATAAGCGGTGTTTTTTTTTATATTCTATGAAATTTGCCTATAAATTAATTCATACATCTGACGAAAGGTAGTATCAAGATAAGTGCTTGAACAAAAACCCCAAATAAGTA